ACCAGCATCAACACCAGGCGCCACCATGAGCAGCAGCACCAGCACCATCACCAGCGCCACCCTTGTTTACTGCCATGTTGCTATTTAACAGTTATAATGTACCTTCTAAAAACCACTGCCTCTTTCCTGTGGCACACCATAGAGTGCCATTGCGGCACACGGGACAATATATGGCATGCACTCAGAAAACGACGTGCACTAAAGAGAGAGAAAGAGGGAGCGAGCGAGCACAAAGACAAAAGGACGGAGAAGGAGGGTCCAGGGTTTTGGGTTTAGGGTTTTGGGCTTTTAAGGTTTAGGGTTTCTATAGTATAGGGCTTACAGGGTTGTAGGGTCGAGGGGTTTGGGGGTTTGGGGGTTTGGGTGCTTTGGTGGTTTGCTGGCTTCGACCTAAACCCGGGCAACCCCTGCGGCACACCGGCATTTTCTCATCCTTTCAAAAACCGTCTTGTTTTGGTGACACGGCTACTTCGCCACCTCCGAAGGCTTGCTCTTGTCGTCGTCCTTCTTCTTGCCACGGGCTTTCTTCTTGTCATCGTCCTTCTTCTTGTCGCGGCCTTTCTTCTTGTCATCGTCCTTCTTCTTGTCACCGCCTTTCTTCTTGGCATCGTCCTTCGTGGCCCACGTGACCTCGTCCAAGGACAGCCTTTTCACGATGTCCTTCACCGCCGCCTTGCCCCACTGGAACACCGCCTCCTCGCCCTCGTCGTCGTCCTCGCCCAGCTTCCGCCGCTTGCACTCTCGCCGGCACACCTTCTGGAGCACGAGTGCCAGCTGAAGCCTCTCTCGCTCCTCCACCATGGATCTACAGTCTATGCGGATGCTCTGCAATGGATGTTGTGCCGTTTCTGCATGCATGCCCCATGTGGTGCTACAGCTGCATGCCGTGCCTGCCAAGTGCTGATGGATGCCCCCTGGTTGTTGTTGCTGCCGCTTGCTGCTGCCTTGCTGTCGCCACTCGTTGCTGCTGCTGTTGTTGTGGCAGCTGCAGGCACACATCAAGGTTCAACATGGGCACGACTGTGACATCACTGCAACTGCATGACATGTCTGCACACAACAAGAAGCGGACATGGCCCACCGTGGTGGTGGCAGTGGTGGTGGTGGTGGTGGTGGTGGTGGTGACGGTGATGGTGGTGGTCGTGGTGGTGGCGGTGGTGGTGCTGGTGCTGGGGGTGCATGGTGGTGGTGCAGGTGTTGGTTGTGGTGGTGGTAGTGGTGGTGGTGGTGGTGGCGGGTGTGGTGGTGGTTTTACCATGTATACTACTACATGCTATAGTACTGTAGTACTACTATAGTACGAGTACTATAGTACTGGTACTAGTACTATACTAGTACTACTACTATACTACTACCCCTAGTACTAAACTACTGCTACTACTACTCCTATACTACCACTACTACTACTACTACTACTACTACTACTACTACTACTACTACTACTACTACTATACTACTACTACTACTACTACTACTACTACTACTACTACTATAGTACTACTACAACTAATACGACTAGTACTCCCACTACTATACTACTACTACTACTACTACTACTACTACTACTACTACTACTACTACTACTACTACTACTACTACTACTGTGCCTACTACATACTACATACGACATACTACATACTACATACAACATGCCAGGGTCCCTGGGTTTGGTGTTTCGGGGTTTAGGGTTTAGGGCTCAGGGCTCAGGTGTAGGGGTTTAGAGGTTTGCGGGTTTAGGGGTTTAGGCTTGTAAACCCACCAAATCTCTGTGGGTTTATGCAAATGCTGATCGGCGGGGCTTTTGGGGGCTTTCTCGCTGCTCTGTGGTTTTGATTGGATTCATGAACTGGTTCCGGACAGGACAACCTACATACATAAAAAAGCCAGGGCAGAAAATATGTATACATAAATTCGGCCTTGGTTTTTTTATGTAAGTATATTTTTTTCAATTCCTAAAACCAAAAAATATATGTATACATAAAAAACCCCTCGCCGAATTTATGTATACATATTTTCCGCCCTGGCTTTTTTATGTATGTAATGTGTGGCTCGTTTTTCCCCTCACCGTCTGGGTAACCGCCCTGGGGAAACTCTCGCGAATTTTTTCCATGTTTTTTTTAAGTTCCTGTGCTCGCAGCCAGCATGAGCAGCAAACATTCGGTTTCCTGGTTTTGCTTTCGACCCTCCCCTTCCTATGTTTGCTGGGATTTTGAATTCCAGAACGGTGCGAAAACTTCAGGCTTTGCTTTCCCGGAGGGGGGGGGGCAGGACATCAAGGCTTCGACATGCAAGCACTGCCGAGAGGAACACACCGCTCGTCGCCGCCGTTTTTTCATGGAGCTGGCTTGCTCCGTGCAGCCGGGGCCCCCCTCGGCCGATGGAGTGCAAACCCAGTTCTATTACCACAACACGTCCCCTATAGATCAACTTCTAAACCAGAACATCCCAACTATATACCAGGACATATAGGAGTGTATCTGAAGTCCGGTGCACAAGCCATCAGCCTCGGCTGTACAACCCTTGGCATCGTACCGTGAAACCGAATGCCGGCAGGAGCTTCTACTTTGTCTCTAAATGCCTACATACCTATGCATCTATATTCATCATCATGAGTTAACCCAGAAGCCAAAATCCACAGGCTAGCTACGTAATTGTACATCTATATCATATATATATATATATATATAAGTATATATATATATAAATATAAATATAAATATAAATATAAATATATATATATATATGTATATGTATTGATACCCATATATGTATATGCACGTGCTTCTGTATATATATATATATATATGTATATATTTTTTTACCTAAGACTTTATGTACACCTATATATATATATATATATATACATGTATACATACGTATAAATATATCTATATATGTATGTATAGATAGATAACTATACGTGTATATCTACCTATCTATCTATACGTTGACACTAGGTGCATATGTACATATATACATATGCAATTATATATTTAGGTATATCTATATCCATATCCATATATATATATATATATATATGCATATCTATACACATACCTATATATTCACATACCTATATGTGCATATATATATATATATATAGATATAGATATGGATATAGACATAGATATACACGTACACACATATACGTATTCACATATGTATTTATACATATGTACTGATGTATATGTCTATATATGTTTGTATGTGTGATTATGCATATACTACCGATAATACCTCTCCACGTAACCTACCTATGACCGGCCTGTAACTACCTAACAATATATATATATATATATATGTATGTAAACGCACACCGGTTCCAAACTACCTACACCTATGTGCCCCCTATATGCATACCTACCTATACACCGACCGAACCATCTGCCTATACCTGCCTACCTATGTCTACATCTGCTTATGTATTATTTACCTCACATAAACCTCCACCTTTACCTATATAGGCTTTGTACCTGACAACACTCTATCCACTATGTATATATATATATATAAACACCTACCTATGAACCCACATCTCTATATACCTGTAACTTAGCTACGTATACCCATATAACGAAAATATATTTATAAATATTTTCCTATGTATTATGTACATATATAACGACCCATCTACCTATTTTCCTATGTACTCTGTACATATATACCTACCCGTCTACCTAGCTTGCTAACTAGTTCTTTCCCTGCTCCATTGCAGCCAGCGGCAACCATTCATAAGTTCCCATGGATCCGGGAGGTCGGCTTAGTCTGCAAGCTTTCCACGGTTTAGGATTAAGGTTTTTTCGGGGTTTAGAGCAGTTTAGGGTTTAAGGGTTTTGGGTTACGTGTAAGGCACACAAAATGCACATAGCCACAGCAACTGCTACGACTCCGAAGATATACCTCCACGGAAGAAGCACGAGCTGGAATGCATAGGGCCGGACACAAGATCCAGTTTCGGGCTTTAGGGTTTGCAGGTGCAAGGCTGGCCATGGCACGGTAGAACACGAAGGCCCATTGCAAGCAGCTCAATTAACAAGGACCGACCTGTTTGGCATGCAGGCCTTTGCATCGTCGCTGTGCAGCATTAAGAATAAAGCCACTTCTTGCCTTTGTAACCACTCGCTTCTGCCAAAGGCCTGCACTGTGAATCCCCGACGACATCTCCATCATGTTGGAAACAACGATATACAGTATACTAGAAGACTGGACTTTTGCAGCTACACTCGTGGCATGCATGGGGATGTCCGTCGGCCTTTCCGGGGGCCAGGCGAGCACCAACATTGTTAGTGGCAAGCTTGACATAGCTAGTACCCATAGGGTTTATATAAGGGTCGAGGGTTTATGTAAGGTGGGTGGACATATACATAAAACAAACCAGACTGCACTATTGCACCCTAGCACACAACACTTCAATGCCCGTGCTCGCGGCCTCAATTTCAGCAGGCTGCAGCCCTATGCACATACCAGCACGGCCTTGCGACCCGATCCTGCATGTCTGTGTGTACGTATGTAAATGTATATATATATATATATACATATATACACATATGTGTACATATATATGTATATGTATATGTATATGTGTATATGTATATATGTAGATATGTAGATATGTATATATGTATATGTATATGTATATGTATATATGTATGTATGTATGTATGTATGTATGTATGTATGTAAGTAAAAGGCTCTGGCTCGAGCCGTCTGTTTCAGTGTGTAAGTACAACCTTTGCCATGTGGTCAAGCCGGCCTCTCTTTCTGGCTCTAGTGCTACAGAGCCTCATCTGCCTGGAGCCGACCTGCTCAGTCTGGTGCCTAGCTCGGTGCTCAGATCAGCATAGCTCAGCCTGTGATGCGAGCGTACCCGTTGCACTGCAAACAGCCTTCCGTGCACGGTGTGCTTCTTCTTCTCAAGCGCATCAGTCGCCATTCGGCCCAGTAGTGCAGGCAGCCACTCGACCTCCAGGTTTTTCTTGTGCAGCCTGTGACCATCAGGTATGTCACCCAAGAAGAACGCCCAGACGACGGCCAAAACCAGTGGTGGCATCCTTCGCTCGGGACGCTTTGCTGCGACGGCCTCCATCGACGTGGTCACCAAGGCTAAGTCACCGAAGAGTCGGGCTCGCACTCGCACCCCGGCTCCTACTCCCAAGAGGCGCCGCGCACGCAGGGCGGAAGCTGGTGCTGAGGCATCGGAATCCATCAGCGAGTCCTCCACTTCATCCTCGGAAGAATCCTGGGGGCCACCGCCTAAGAGAGGCACCCTACGCGGACCACCTCGAGGACCACCTCCCCCGTCAGCAGTCCATGCTTCGAGTCCGACCACAACTGATGCACCTGCCGCGCTTGATACCTCAGGATCTGTTCCTCTGCTTCCCAAGGTTGCAACTCCGGCGGCTGCTACGACGACGACTACCAGTTCACCAGGACCGTTGCCTATGTCTGGACCATCCGGCCCTCCGCCTCCTACGCCAGCAACTAACATGCAAGTGCCGACAGGCTGCCCCCAAGACCTTGTACTTACTCTCCAAGGCGCTTGGCAGCTCCGTCTTTCTCCGGTCACCCCGCTGTCGATTTGCACACCGATCTGTGCACCACCAATGCCAAACCCGCCCCTGCTGGCGGCAACAGCCATGGCAGCGGCCACGACTAAGGCCTCCTCTCCGCCTGCACCAGGCACCTTCGGCCTTCGAGCTTCCTCTCGTCCGCCCTTCATGGGTGGCACCGAGCTACCCTCTCCTTTGCCTCCGACAGCTGTGGTCCCCTTCTCTTCTACATCAACGGGCTCAGCCACGACGGCAACAGCGGCAGGACCATCGACTACTCCCACGCCGGCTCAGCTTTGGAACGCAGTGGTGTCTGGCCTTGCCCTGCCATCAGATGTCTGAGGCTCTGTATGCAGTGCGCTTTTACTGTACTCTGCTCCCCGAGCTCCTCTTTTTGACACACCATGATGCACTAGCTGCGAAGCCACAAAAGCGCCTGACCCGATCATTTGGGCGACATGCTCGGTTCGATAGGACTATGCTTAATCTGCTTCTCCTTGTTCAGCTCCGACGCTCAGGTCATCGAAGCATGTCCTTCCTGCAGCTGACGGCCAATGAGGCCCTGTCCGGTGGGAGCCTCTGTCTACTTCCGTCCCACTGCGCTCTGCCCCGATTGAACTCTCAGGCTCCACTCGGGCGAACTCAGTCTTGCAGCAACCGCTGCAGGACAAATCCCACCAGCCCCGGAATAAATTGCAAGCACACAGGGTGCCAGATGATACGGATTGCTCCCCGAGTGATATCCGCCTCCGACATGGTACTACAATCGGGACTCCCTGGTGTGCCTTGCCCTTGTGTGCGAGCATCCTCTGCGAGGCACTCTCAGTCTCGAGGTACCGTCGCAGTGCCAGGTTCAGCACCTATCACTGTCGTGCCCTTACCCAGGCCTTGCACTACGAGAGATTCTTGCCAACTCTCGAGGCACACGTCCTATACCTCGAAGCCAGGTGCACACTCACGCCTGAGGAGCATGCAGATCTTCTTGCCCAGCTCACCCATCTTGCTCCGCTGGCGCTCGCGAGCCTACGGTCTCGCCTCATGGCACTGCATGAGCTTGACTAGGCTGAGCCCTCCTGGTCTTCTGGGTCAAGACCTCAGGTTCTGCTCACTCACTCACTCCATGCACTGCCTGTCTGTGTGTCCTCAGGCTGGAGGTGTCCTCGCCTGCTGGGCCGACCACACCCATCAGTCGCGCCCTTGGCACCTCCTAGCGTTCTTGCACTGTGCTGCTCTGGTGCCTGAGCGATTCACACTAGCACATGACAACAGTGATAGACTCTTTGGCTCCAGCACGGCACTCGGGGGGGAGTCGACTCTCCTGCCTCCTTCTAGGAGGCCAAGTCCTCGACGCATGGGCCGCTCAGGGAAGGCCAAACGGAACAAAGGCCGTCCAGGCCGCTGGTCGCGTGGACTTGCCACTGAGCCGGAGGAAGGTCTACGACTAGGTTCCAGGCGGCGCTCTTGCTCCCACTCCCGCTCACGCTCCAGACCTCGACCCAGCCGTGGCTCCAGCGTACCAGATACTGGCTCAGCAAGCAGCAGGCCCCCTGCTACCAAACCGCCTACCTCGGGAGAGACATCCTTCAAAAGACTTCTGCTGGCTCCCAGGAGATTGGTGCGCCTTTTCCAGGCCACGCCGGACTATCCTGCTGGCCTACCGGGCATCATAGTGCCTGACTCCTACCCGGGCACGGACCTTGACCCGGCTGTTGCCCTTACTCCAGGCCAGAGCTCCTGCAAAGTCGTCTTCACTACTGGAGACCGCGTGTGTACATGTGCGAGCACACAGATTTTGCCCTCCACAGAGGCGGACTTCCCTAAAGGCACGGTCGGCCGCTTGCAACAGCTATACCGCTGGGTTGTCCATCCGCCTCCCCGGACCAGGTACGCTAAGCCGCCTCAAATTCAAGCACCGGGCACCGCCATCTCGACGGATCCTGACGATGAGCTTACCACCGGGCCTCCAGCTCCAGCTGTCATTCAGCTCGACAGCGAGAATGATGAGGAGGACGTTCAGCTTTTGGTGCCACCACGGCCCCGGTCCAAGCCCATGCCGCAGCCCAAGCGCTACCCACTGACGCCGCCCTCGACCATGCCTGTGGCACCTAAGACAGTGATCCCGGACGAGCCGGAGCAGACAGAACCGACGGATGGCCCTCCTGAGGCAGGCTCATCCACTCCCGAGCCCGCGGGCCCCATGGCAGCTCGGACAGAGCCAATGGATCTGGTCATCGAGGACATCCACCAGACCGTTGGAGAGCTTGTGCCCGCAGGCCGAGCCCCCGAGCCTATGGATACAGAGCTTGGGAACCCTGATGCGGCTGCTGCCAAGGATACCGACCCAGCGGGCACCCTACAGCCCCTGCCATCCTCTCAGCATGCTGATGGCCCCACCAGGCACAAGCGTCGCAAACGACAGCTCCGGCGCCTAGTGGAGGAGGCTATGGCTCGACGATCCTCGTCCTCTCACTCCGGTGCTCGTGATGATCCAGGCAAGCCAAGGGGATCTGCGTCGCCACGGCCAATCCCTGGATGCTCACCGTTCTCCCCTCGGCGCTCACACGGCACTTCAGGGACGGAGACACCTGTGCCCCTGGGAGCACCACCATCGCCTCTGAAGCAGCCACCAACCGCCGACAAACGGAGTGCCCCGGCTCGGCACCATTCTAGTGAGAAAGTAGGTAGTGCATCCACCTCCGGAGACGATGAAGCCAGTCAGGGCAGCACTGCCAGTCTCACCACACAGTGCTCGCCGACCAGCCCGGCATACAAGAGGGTGTGTGTCTTGCAGACCCAATCGCAACATTACTTGCCCTGCTTGGCTGTCATGCTGCACTCTACTCTGCCCTCACTCTTGCCATCGTTGAGGTTGGGACCCAGTCAACGCCCTGTCCGTTCCAGGCGTGCCAGCCTCAGTTGCACATTCTCTTCGAGCTTTCTCAGTTCTGATGTCCTGACACATGTGCTGCTAATCCTGGCTCTGTCTAGCCATTTTGGTCCCCTCCCCGAACCAGGCACCACTTTTTCCTCACGATGGGCACCATTGTGCGCAAACGACCTTCCGGTCGCCTTGCTGCCACAGGCACTGCCACAGGAAGCCAGCGGCCCAAGACCCTTCACAAGGTGGCCTCCAAGAAGAAACCGGCTCACTCCCGTGCTAAGCCGGCGGCCCGAGCCTCCAAGCCCAAATCTGGACTCAAGCAGGCACCTCCCTCGCGCTCCTCCTATGCGCCGACTACACCATCATGGTGGGCCAGCGATCCTGAGGAACCACACGAGCCACACGCCTCAGACTCCGACCAGATTGACAAGGAGATGGAGGCACGAGGTGACCCACCACCGCCTGTTCAACCCCTACGTGCCGGAGATCCGCCTCGTGGTCCACCGCCGCCACAGCCAGTGCGCTATGATGTCGACACTCATGCAGCTCTCGGATGTACCAGCCCCAGGGCAGTCCCTACCGTGGTCCTCACTCGAGCCCAACATCGAGTACTGGCACAAACGCCATTGTCACACATTATGCGTCACGCAGCTGCCAGTATGTACCCCTCCTCTGCGAATCGCTGAGTGCCCGGTTCTGCTACCCATCCTCGCTGACACCTTTAACTACGGCTACTCGACTCAAGGGCCCGTGAGTACAGGCATAGCCCGGCGGACCTGTCAATGCTACCTTGTCCGGCCGATGCAAAAACAGCGGTCACCACTGCCTGCCCTGCGTCTGCCCTGCTCAGCCAAAGGGGATTCACTCCAGCCTCTCTCATCATGGGCCCACTGGCGATGCGCTCAGGTGGTCACAGTGCCGCCCTCCACAGGCCCCGCGCTGTTCCTTTCGTTGCGGCCCTCTACATTGTTTCAGCGTCCGGTCCGCTCCAGACTCCCGTCAGGTGCAGTTCGTCGTCGATTTCGCCGGCGCAAAAGAGACAGAGCGCTGCTTAAGATTAGTATAAGGCAAACACTCCAGCGCTGGCAACAGGCCTGCACGACCCTCCAAGCTGCATGCCTGTCCTACTGTCATGCTCCAATCCGGAGTGCGACCTGCTATATTCTGAGCTTTCTTTGGCATGCATCTGTCACAGCTTGGCTCAGACCCCTTCTTCCTGCGCAGGAGACTGCACACATTGGTCCGAGGTCATTACTTACACACACATATACACTCTGCACTTTTCGAGCCCACTTCGGTCCCAAGTCCGAAGGGGAGGCTAATCAGCTAATCCACTCAGACTAAGGCACCCGCACAGCGCCCTGTTACGCTTGTCCTCGCAAGTCTGTATACATAGCCTCCCAGAGCCGAGGGTTAGACGTCCCCCGCCGCGTCTTGAACCTGCTGCCCCGATCCCTGCTGGACCAGATGCACATGTATCGACCACAGTTCCAGCCTCGGACTACTGTATGGGAGCAGGGAAGCCAGGGAATTTTGCAAGTGGTGCAGTCCTGCGGGACCGCCACCCTCATACACAATCAGTCGTCATCAGGTCTCGCTTCTCCTGGCCCGCTTCGCGCCTGCTCCTTCTCGGAGTTAGCAGCATTCTGCAGGCCCCCAGCGATGCACATGCCACAGGCATCAAACGTGCATACAACCGGGCAGTCAGACGAGCACAAGCGAGCCCCTTGCAGGGCACCTTCTATCGTGGCCGATGGTGCTCTTTCCGAGCACCTGTCATCTCGCCACAGCCTCGGACGGATCGTCGTCCCCAGCTGCATGCTGCCGCCCCTGCCTCTGCTGCCAGGCTTCTGCATGTCTCTTACAATGCGGGTGGGCTGACGGGTGAATCCTACCAGGAGTTGATGCAGTGGCTAGCCCAGCTGCCTCCAGAGCAGTGCCCAATGATAGTGCACATCCAGGAAACGCATTGGTCGCACGATCAGGAATACAGCACACCGGGCTGGCACATTATATCATCGGCCTGCCCCTCCCCTAAGGCAGGGGGTCTCCTCACCCTAGTTAGCACCCAGCTCTGTTCGGCAAATCAGATCTCATCCTCCTCTCGCGTCGCAGGCAGGCTGCTCCACGTCCGCATCGATCTGGGAGACCGCACGGTGGATGCAATTAACACCTACCAGAAGGTTTATCATTCTGGCAGCACGAGAATCGAGAAAGGTCAGACTCAAATCGCGGCCGATCAGCGACGGGACGTCTGGACATCTCTTCGTGGCCTCCTCAAAGAGATTCCGATCCGTCACCACTTAATTTTGTCTGGTGACTTCAACTCGCCTGCCCCGCTCATCCCCGAACTGGTGGGAAGCAAGGCCAGGGCATTTCGCACACCGATGGTCCCAGACCTGGCTGCCTTGGAGGCCCTGCTCGTAGATTTTCAGCTGCTTCATCTTAACAGTTGGACTCGCAGAGCTGGCCCGACCTTTATTTCCCCGCAGGGCGCATCTCAAATCGATCATGTCTTTGTGCGCAAGGCCACCGCCGATATGCCTGCCCGCGGCGGCAGCCCCTGCAACTGGCCTCTGGCGGCCTGGAGACAAGGGGGACGCCATCGCCCGGTGCAGGTCTCACTTCCCATTCGACCCTACCGCGCCCTGGGCAAGTCTCAACCCAAGCGTGCTCTCCTTGATCTCCAAGGCCTACGCAACGCCTGTCGCGACCCGAGCCATCCAGGAATTCGGCAACTACGTGCCTCCGTCGAGGCCCTGCTCTCGGACTCCCCCGAGGCCACTGTCGAAGAGGTCAACTCCCACGTCCTGCAACAAGCGACGGCGGTGTTCCCAGCTGTCCGTAACCAGGGACGCGTTGTCCCCTGGCAATCCCCCACTGTTGAACTCAGCGTTAAAGGTATGTGGCAAGCCTATCACTGCTGGCGGCATGGACCGACGACAGGACGTCGAAACGTCTTTGCTCTCTGGCGTGCTTACTCCGCCTTTCGCCGAGCACATAAGCAGTTCCGTCAGAGGACCCGTGAAGCCAAACGGGCCTGGTTTCATGATCAAATTCTTGGTATGGAGCGTGCATCTGCTGCCGGGGACGTTAGAGCGCTCTTTCGTCTGGCTGGCGCCCTCCTGCCCAAGCAACCACGTCGCAAAGTCCAGCTCCGAGGTCCCAACGGTGAGCTTTGGTCCTCCACGCAACAGGTGGACTGCCTCAAAACCTTCTTTCAGGATCTGTATGCGCCTGAGGACGAACCAACACTGCCACCTCTACCGCCACTTCAAGCCCCCACCATTTCCTCCTCTGAGGCCCACCATCGACTCGCAAGGCTCCCGGTACACAAAGCCACCCCAGCGCATCAGGCACCCACGGCGGCAGTTGTTGCCTGTGCTGATCTTCTTGCGCCCTGGCTCAGTGACAAGGTCGGGTCTCTATCCTCATTCCCGGCTGTGTGGTCAGACTGCTGGCTGGCCTGAATGCCCAAGGTCAGTCATCCAGTACTCCCACGACAACTACGCCCTATCGGGCTCACAGAAAGCACGAGCCGTGTTCTGGCCGGACACTTACAAGATGCTCTCAAGCCCTACCTTCAAGCCTTCGTTGGCCCATGGCCCCAGCTTGCCTACATGGCAGGACGCAGCACAGGAGAGGCGCTGCGTCGTGTGTTCAGCCATTGTCACGAAGTGTCCGCGGCCAATCTTAAACCTGCCTACAATATCCACCGTGCCAGAGATAAGCTGGCCCAGGCTGGCAAACCCTCATCCCCATCCTCTGCCTCCAAGCGGAAACGGATTGGAGGGGTCCAGGCATCACTGGACCTTTCTCAAGCGTTTGACCGGCTCAGCTGGAGTCTTATACACGAAGCCTTGCTTGAGGCCCAAGTTCCTATCGAACTGAGGGTACAACTACTTGAGTTTTACAGAGGTCTGGGCTATCACCTGACCTTCGGCTCTGAGCAAGCCACCGTCCACGCCTTGCGGGGAGTCAAACAGGGCTGTAAAGTGGCTCCACTATTGTGGAGTCTGGCTACAGGTCTGCTCATGCGCCGATTGGCCCGCGCGACTTCCTCTGAGTGGGTCCGTCGCGCCCTCACGGCCTTTGCCGATGACTTTCACATTGGACAGGTTGTACACTCCACCCGAGATTTGCTTCTGTCCATCGACAGGCTCGGCCACGTCTTACAACTGCTCATTGATGCACGTATGAAAGTCAACATTGACAAATCCGTGATTCTCCTCTCTGTCAATCATTCCTATGCCAGCCGCTGGCGACGTAGAGAAATTCTCTCTGGCAAGGATGGCCCGCGCCTGCGCATATCAACTCCCACGGCAGGCACCTTCAAGATGCCAATCGTGACTACTCACAAGTATCTGGGAGCCATTATCTCTTACCAGGAGGACTGTACGCAGCTTACGGTGGCGTATAGATTGCGCCAAACATGGGCGACCTGGACCAGACTTCGACCTGCCCTTACCTCAGCCTCAGCACCTGCTCTCCCCTTGCGACTTCGTCTCTGGCAGGCATGCATTCCTCCCACTGCTCTCTATGCACTTGACAGTCTTCCGCTGCAACAGCAACACCTGGTACAAATTCAGAGAGCCTTAACAAAACAGCTACGCGCTGTAGCCAGGTCCCAGGCACATCTGACAGGTGAATCCGCAATTGCTTTACATCATCGCCTCCGGGTTCCCCTGGTGTTAGATGCGTTGCGACAGGCCTCTCACCGCCGAGCAGCCCGGTGGGCCGCCATCCCCCCTGAGGAAGCCCACCTTCTCAACCGCATGTGGCAAACACGCATAGATGACGCCCTTCAGAAACTCGACTCTCCCCTTCAGCCACTGTTGGAAGCCCCCACGGCCCCCTCGACAAGCTCTGCCCTGCAGGACAATCCATCAACCACGGGCGCTCTGGAATCGGGAATGCACGAAGAAGGATGGTCATGTCCCCACTGCTCTTACCAAGCGCCATCACATAGACTTCTTCGCGTACATCTCTCCCGAACCCATGCAAGTAAGGCCAAAGATCGGGAGCGTCCAGGCCGCTTCAACCGCGACCAACACTCAGTCAGTGGGATGCCGACCTGTCGTCTCTGCGGGCACCGCTTCTCCCGTTGGAGTGGTCTTCGCTGCCATATTGACAAGGGACACTGCAGATGCCTGTCCTTCTCAGCCCTGCCAGAGCCTGAGCCCACTACTACTGTACCTCCGAACATTGCGACCCATTGCCGCCTCATACATCCACCGAAATAGCCCCTGTGCACACGGAGGCTGGCACCACCACAGCTACTACGTCCGCGCCAGGTCTGGAGCCACCCCTTTCGGCAGAGTGCCCTGCTGCGCACCCTTGCCCGAACCCGGCTTCCTCTTCTTCACCTCCGGGGGAGCCTACAGCTGCCGCCACCACGGCGGATGCCGAGGATACGCTGTCCATTCGCCATCTGCCTGTCTCGCAGCCGCTAGCTTATACCCCGGCCTTTCAAACACAGCTGCGAAGTCTTGGATGGCAGGCGCTCCTCTCGAGGCCAGATCTCAGGAGCTCACTGAAGCACCACTGCCCGCTGTGCTCTCAGTGGACTGCTTCCCCTTCGGGGCTCAAGGTGCATTTGCAGCAGTCACACCCGGAATGGAAAGCACTCCGCCCGGCTGCACAGGCGAAGGCTCAAGTTCTACGCCGCAGTCTGTGTAAACCATGTCTATACTGCCAGGAATCTCGCATTGATCTACAACATCACTGGAAGCAGTGTTACATGATTACCTTACTCAGCTTCCTAGAGTGCTGGCTGAACAACACCTTCCCTGCTATAGCCTCCACTGCCCTGGACCAACCGGTTCACGCACTCCCTCCTGCCAATGTCAGTGGAGGATCAACGCGAATTGGGCCTCTTCCAGAACTTCATGACACCGCCGGCGGGCATGGATGCAGCTCAACTCAAGCGCCGACGGGGGGAGGAGCCGGAGGCACAACAAGCCCTATTCCTGAACCACTCGTCCGGCTCCCAGGCCTCAGCGTCGACCATGACGTTCGCCAGCACGAGCTCGGAACCCAAGGGCAAAGGGAAGGGCAAGCAGCCCAAGGGCAAAGGACGGGGCAAAGGGGGCAAATCACGCCCAGCTGCCCAACAGTCGTGGAACGACCAATGGAGCTCGGATCAGTCTTGGTCCAGCGGCCACTCCTGGACTTCCTCCGGCGACCTGACCGGTCAAATGGCCCGCCTCCTTCTCCGCCACGAGCAGCAGCTGCAGAGCATCCAACAGGACTGCAAGCTGCATCTCTATCTCCGCAGTGGGAAAGAATCCTTTCTTCCCAATCTATGCGAGATTGCAAAGGAATGGAGCCGCCTTCGTCGCGACGAACCGGGGAAGATCAACAGTCCGCTGCGCACTCTCCTCCTCAAAGCCACCTTGCAGGAGATGGAGACCCGGATCAAGCTCACCATCAGCAAGGAGAAGCAGGCGGCCATCGACATGCAGTGGTACAAGGAGGAGGAGGGCTGGACTTACATGCAGTGGAATGCACAGAAAGGACAGCTCGAACTTCAAGCTGCTCCGAGTCCACTTGCCACCGAGACCCTCCTCGAACTCCTCCGAGAGCTTCGCACCCTTGTGAATCCGGACTCTGTGAAGAAATTCGCGTCACTCCGCGGACTTCCACAGGAACCCCAGTCCGAATGGATCCACTTTCAGCTGGAGCTCGGGTTTCGACCACAGGGGGATCGCATGTGGGAAATCTTTCAAATGCTGCTCAACCAGAGTTGCCTCCATCCTCTCGGAGCGCGCCTGAGGAAGGACCGCCCCGGCCTGTCAGGCCTTGCGGCCCAAATTCAACAGGCGGTCGGAGGCTGGTGAAATCAACCACTCCATTGGCCTCGACCTCAGCCTCTTCCGGCATACGTCGCTTTCTCAGAGTGTCCCGGGATTTGCCCTTAGATACTGCCTGCTCCTCGCCCTCATTTGTGCCCTCAGAAGTCCCCTCGCACTTTCAGCCTTTGCTTCATGCAGTCCTCCACAATGCAGACGGCACTGCCTGCTACATGAACACAGCACTCATTGCCCTGCTATGGGCAATTGGCTGCCATGATCCCACTCGATCTGGCTCATTGTGCAGCTTATATCAGTGCTTGACTGCGAGGTCGGACCTTCGACTGATGCGCAACATGTGCTGGACTATGTTGCTGGGGAACTGGGCCAGGCCCAATCAACAACACGACATGCACGAATTTCTACTTCATCTCATGCCGAGAGTTCGATTGGAGGCCTTCAGCGGTTTGTGGCAAACTCGCAGACTGGAGGACACGGGCACTGTGATTTGTGCATCTTCCAATGCACTGCTCCCGGTCACAATTGACCTGCCCCTGGAGGCACGGGGGCTTCAGCATTGCGTACAGGAGTGGTCTGCCCAGCATTATCATACCGCTTTCGATGGCAATCTGCCTCATCTCATTTGCCTCCACTTGTCGCGCTATAGGCGTGATGATGAACGGGGCATTTTCAGCAAGGATGATCAGGCTCTCCCGGACTGGTCTGAAGTGATACGCATTCCACAATTTGCGACGTCACATGACATTCAGAAGCACTGGAGACCCTATCAGGTGTGTGCCATGGCTCTCCACTACGGGCCTGCCTTGCACCAGGGGCATTACCGCTGTTTGACGCGATGGGGTCAAAATCCAGTGCGAGTCTGGCTGCATGACGACAATCATGCAGCTGAGCCTCTCTCCTTGCCAGACTCTGTTGAGCTCAGTCGCAAAGCCTACTTGCTATGGGCAATGCGAATGGACTGAGGCCTCACCTGCCATTGTGAGCATGCTCTGACGACTTAGTTGTACAAAGCACACGTACTGTCATTCGTGACTACGTGTGACTTGAGGGGGCACAAAATGTGCGCGCCCACCGAGGCGCCGGAATCTCACCATGAGATTCTGCCTTAGCCAGCTAGGCGACGACTCGTTCGCTGCGTCCTGAAGATGTATGTAGGTAAATATGTGAGAAGGTATCTATATAGGTATGCAGGTATAGAAGTATGAAGGTATATGTAGGTCCGTGTGCACGTGGGTATATACAGGCACATGTATGTACGTATGTGTGCATGTATGCATGTAGGTACGTATGCAAGCATGCATGTATGCATGTAAGTACGTATGCATGCATGTATGTATGTATGTACATATGTATGTATGTGTTCTTATGTAGGGCTGACTATAATATGGGCTGTGCAAGCCTGCATAAAGTTCAACAACATTCTGCACCGACCGTGACTCGTGCATGTGCTACCTCCTACATCTCCTTCCTCTCAAGGAGGCCGACGAGTCGGCCCATCGTCCCCAGGGCGGTGCTCATCTGCAGGGATGGGCGAGGAGCTTTCGAGACCTAGCTGTGTAACCAGCCACTATGAACCATAACATCCCATGGAAAACCCACAAACATCCAACCAAACAACCGAAACTAAAGCCCTTGAAACTCTAACGGCCAAAACCCAT